AAACACATTTACAATTTTTTTTTTTTTATATATATATATATATACTTTTGCCTTTTCAGTTTTCACACACAATGTCTCAACTAAAATGGACAGATTTCTGTATCAGAACCAACACCCTCTTTCTCAGCTGTCACATTTCACAAAACTCAAATGTATATGGAACATAAAATGAGAATTCTATACTTTCTGCAATTCATCAAGCCAATTTATCTCAAAGAGAAAAAAATAAAAAAATAAAAAAAAAAATCGCACGTTTTTTCAAAAGTCGTGCGTTATGTTACACGACATGTATTGTATCAACATGCGATGTCGCCACTTGTGCTAGCAGATCCCTCGGAAGAAATCGTTATGCCACGTGGCAAATGCATTGGCTGCGTTTGGTCAGCTTCACTGTATCCGGGCAGCTGTTGAGATAATCGAGGCTCGACATTTTTGTGATAACTATTGGTATTGCAGCCAACCGAGACCCTGCAAAGTGGACAGGTTGCGTTCGTGTGGAGCCAAAGGTGAATGCAGTCCTCGTGGAACACGTGCTTGCACTTTTCAACTAAAACTAGCTCTTCTTTCGTCTCGAATTCCCCTAAGCAAACACAACACCTGCTTGTACAGTAATATTCTACATTCCTTATTCATTTTATTTAAAACTAATTTGATATTAATTAGGCAAAACTGCTTTTTTAGTGCTGCTGGTTTAATGCGGTAGCAATTTTAATCTCGATGTTCTAACATTTCGTTTGTTGGTCCTGTGATTTAATATTTTGCTGCAATTTCAGGCATTTGAGGACTGAAATTGAAACAAATTTCTAAGTTCTCTGATTTTTCTATTAGCAATTTAAGTCCAGTAGTTTATATAATTTCGTTGTAAATTCAGTCCTATAATTTAAAATTTTGTTGCAATTTCTGTCCTCATATGACTGAAATTACAGTAAAATATTAAATTTCATGACCAAAAGGCGAAAAGTTAGAATCTTGGGACTAAAATTACTATGACATTGAACCAACAGAACTAAAAATACATTTTTGCCTATTAATTATATGTATATATGTTGTGTATCCTTTAATTATTGTCTCATAGTTAAATGGGGCGACTCT